TTCCATTTAAATTCCAGAATGGTTCAGGTTGGAAGGGACCACTCTGGATCATCTTAACTCGCCTTTCTGCTCGAGCAAGGGCACGAAAAAGAGGAAGAAAAAGAACCGGCTGAGAGTTTGTGATTTCCTGGGACACAACTAAAAGCTTCTCATATAAACTTCATGAAGAACTGCAGTAAAAATCCTTAGTGCTGAATGGTTATTGAATAGATTATTAAATGCTGTCCTGAGCCAATCTAAGAATTCTTTAGAACAATAAACCAATAAGTGCAGAGCCCAGGTAGAGATTTCCCCTTTAACTCTTCAGCAAGCTCATGGACGCATTCTTGGGGATTCCAGACCCCAGATCAGAGATGCAGCTCCTCCAAACCTCAGCCAGGAACCCACAGATGAGGATGTTCTTGCACAGGCACCTCTCATCCAGCACTAGAAGAATCTGGTTATTCCCTGGCAGGCTCCTTTACAGTCCTGGATATCCGGCCAAGTGTATTTCAGAATCAAACAGCAAGTTTTGCCTAGAATTTGCTGAGTCTTCATCAATATGTGCAGAAGAAAATCCAAGTTTGGAAAGCTAAAGCATGCCACAAAGTTATTCCTCAACCAGCCTACTTCTTACAGCCCTTGCTTGATTTGTTCCTGTTAATTTTCCCATGTTCTTTACAGCCTGATTCTGGATTTTGGACCTCTGTCTGGCTTTTGGTGTATGTGGGAAATAGATTTGTAAAAATTCTCAAAACCTGACAGAAAGATCACATAGTGTGCATGTGTATGCAAACATTGAGATAAGAAATGCTGACAGAAATGCCATAGAAGAAGACAGATACTGTTGAGAGAGAAATTAAACTAAAAACAAATTTCAAAAGATAGCCTTAACAAATAAGACAAAATACTTAAAAAATAAAAAAGTACATTATAGCAATACCCACAAAGATTAATTTTTGATGATTAGCTTTAAAGCATTTACAACATAGTGTAACAAAAGCTAATAAGCCGAAAAGCACTTACAGTATTTTATAATTAAGAAATAGTTGGCTTCTGGTTATAATAGTGTAAATTATAACATCTAAATTATCTCATCTTCACATGAAACTAAAAATAGAACAAAAGTGTTTTAAAAACTCAGTTACCCCATCTGAGTCAGAAAAAAGCTTTATCCAACAGGTGTAGTCAGAACTTGGGTTTTTTCAGTGTTTCTTCTGAATGTCTCATTCATGAGATGCCAGATCACTGGACCCAAAGATGTGGAAGAACCTGGCAAACGTCAGGAAAATGTGTGTTAGGGTAACAGGATGGAGCTGGATAGAGTGAAATAATTCCCTCCACCAGGGATCCTGAACCTTCTTTGAACTGAGTTCTTAGGGTCCTGTGTGGGTGTCCTTTCAAAATTCAGTGCCCCCAAAAGGCACTGCATGTTTAAGTTCAGTGGGCTGAAGGGAGCCCAGATTCTCCCTGGAAGTTACAAGCTCAAACTTCAGTCAAATATCAGTGAAATCCCTCTGGATTCAGCTCCTTCTTAGAAGAAACATTGCTTAGGACTTCCTTTTTCTGGTTTTACATAGAAAATTCTGAAGCTCTCAGATGTTTAAAGTGTTTATGGCAGTCTTAAAACAGAGTAGCCAGATGTCAGAAAACTCTATGGCCCATAAAGAATCCAAATTTGATGGAATGTGATGTTAAACCCTTCACAAAATGTATTAAGCTCCCATTGTGACAGCAATGTGAACCACGATTTCACATATTTTAGTGAATTTAACAGAAAATTTGAATTAAGAAATTACTCCACAGTAGATCTAACTGGCAAATACATTACAGATCCTCATCTGTCCTGACAGACTCTTCACATTTAAGACACATAAAAGTGAAGTAGCATAAATAAAAAGGATTTGGTGTCCACAAATGTATGTGTGGGGAATATGAATGTAGGGCAGGCACAAAACACCAATAATGTAATTTTAATAGGAATCATATATTGCAAGGAAGTGAGTAATTCAATTAGTTTTCAGCCTTCTCCTGGAGGATTACAGCTGATTTTTGTGTGTGTGTGTGTGCTGGAAGAACTCATCAAGGCTGATGGGAAAGGCTTAGAATGCAGAGTTTAATGAAATCATGGGCTCCTAGATGCAACATGTGAAAGAGAAAGCAGAAAACATTTAAATACCTCATTATTAGGAGGAAAAGTCAAAATATGTGGAAGTTGGTAGAGCTAAGTGTGTTTGTCTGAGGACCAACAGAGCAAGATCTCTGAATTTTGTTGTTATTTTATGCTAAAAGGGAAACACTGGCAGAGTGTTTTGTGTTATCAAAGCCAGAAGGGAGGTTTGGGGCTGTGCTGATGGATTTGATGAGTGTGTGGACACTTTTCCAGTCTGGGTGTGGGGTGTGTCCATGCTGGTTTTGTTGCCCTGCACAGAATCCATTCTCTGTCTCATCTCAACAGCAGCCACGAGGTTCTGCCTGGAGCTGCCTGGGGTCTTTGATCTCACCCACAAGGCATCATTTGCACTGCTCTGCATTATTTATCACCACTGAAGTATTTTCAATTAAACTGACAGATTAAACACTAACTTTGCCTGGCAGATAATGAAATTCTTGTTTCTTTCCCGAGGAAGCTGACGTGAAAGAAGCCAGGCACGGCTGGGCGCAGGAATTTGCACTGCCTGAGAGTTTCCACATTTCCTAACAAGTGAGCACTGTGTGATACCACAGGTGGGAGGCAGGCTTGCTTCCTGGTGCTGACAGTTGTCACAAAGGTGAGGAACACCCAGGTGATCCCACAGAAGCCCCACAAAGAGTGGGATGGAAGATTCCTCACCACCTTCCAGCCTTAGGTGCACCCTGTGAGACCTTCAGTCCAACAGGAAACCCATATGGAGCTGCAGTGGCAAGAAGAGGAGACCTAAAAATTTCCTGCCAAAAGTGTGATTGAATCAACCCACCAGCCCTGCCCTGCAGCATGGAGATGAATATTGAGAATTCTTTATCTCTGAACACTCTGAGGAACCTCAAGGGAGGATAAGTGGGGATGAGGAAAACATCATTTATTGATGCTTTTGAGGAGGAGCACATGGACTTCGGGCTTTTCCACCGTGATCCCTCAGAAGAGGGACACTATGGGCACTACACCATTCCTTGGTGGTTGTGATAAACCACAATTTGGAATTTTTAAAAACAATTTTAAAAATTTGTAATTTTTAAAAACAATTTTAAAAATTCATCATCTTGGCCCTACACAAACATACTTGGCTGTGGAGATGTGGGTGCATGTCCTTATGTATTCTAGAGTTTTCCTTATGAAAAAGGGGAGAGGGTGTGTGTTTGTCTTCTATGAGGGATGTGGAAGGGGTATGTGATTCTGTGCATCCTGAGTCTAGGTGGGAGATAGCCTTCACCCTGCCCAGCTAAGTAAGAAACATCTAAGCATTTAAAAATAACAGAAATCTTCTGAGCTGTTTTGGTTTTTTTCCTAGTTTGGGAAAGTTGGAATGACAGTTCTTCCCCTGCAAGGTTTGCCATTCCAAGCAGAGTGTGGGCTCCTCATGGATTCAAGGACTGTCATTAAAGGATTGTTGCAAACTTATTTTTGAAGTGCCTCATCTGAAGGAACTGAACTGCCACTTACTCTGCTCTCAGAAGAAACTTGCTTTTCCATGTGGAAGGAGCAGGTACATTTCTCTTCCTCACCCTCAACTCCCAGCAGAGCAGTTTCTGGTTTCATGTCTATTTTCAGCAAGATCTGTGCAACCACAAAAATAATACAGAGCTTGGAGCATTCTTCTATACCATATCTGGATGCTGGCAATGTACACTCTTGTTCATTTGTCATCTCAGTTCTGTATTTGCTGCTAATTGTGGAGCCCATTTCCCAAAGCTGGAGGAGTTTTGCTAGGAAAAGGCAGTGAAAAGCTGGGTTTGCTCTGGGTTTTTTCCCAGAGCTGGGTTTAAAGCTCCATGAGATTACACAGAGAGCACAGAGAGTGGTTTCAGCTGTGGACCATGATCCTGCTATGGCTTTGGCAAAGGCAGGTGGGATCCTTGGATGGTTGGGCAAAGGAGTTCCCAAGGAACTGGTGCCACTGTGAAAGGCCCTGGTGAGGTGTCACTGAAGATGCTGAATGTCCTTTTGGGTGCAAAGACTTTTCTAGCAGGAAGTGGGACACAATCCTGGGAGGTGGATTGATCCCTCTTGACAGGGGCAGGAGCTGTTTTTTTCTGACAAGGCAGGGCCTGAGAGGGAATCAATCCGTGCCACACTCCTGCAGGAAGACGGACGCACAGTTATTGCCATGGTGGGGGGCACAGGGGACACTCCATGAATTGCTGTGGGCTGGAGCTGAGGGACAGGAAGGGCGCTGAACCTGTTTGGGTGAGTCCAGAGGAGGGCACCAAGGTGATCAGAGGGATGGAACACCTCTGCTGTGAGGAAAGGCCAAAAGAACTGGGAGTGTTCAGTTTTTGGGATGACCTAATTGTGGCCTTGCAGTACCCTAAGGGAGCCTACATGAAAGATGGGGCAAGATAATTTGCAAGAGCTGGGGTGACAGGACAAAGGAAAATGGGTTCAAATTGAAAGAGAGTAGGTTTAGATTAGATACTGGGGGCATTTTTTTCCCTGTGAGGGTGGGTAGGCCCTGGCACAGGCTGCCCAGAGAATCTGTGGCTGCCCCTGGATCCCCGGAAGTGGCCAAGGCCAGGCTGGATGGGGCTTGGAGCACCTTGATCTAGAGAAAGATGTCCCTGCCGGCGGAAGGGGGCGGACCGAAAAGACATTCCAAGCCATACCATTCCATGAATCTATGAACAGGCTCCTGGAGCACCGGGATCCTCCGAGCCGGGGCGGTGGGGAGGGCCCGGCCGCGGAGCCAGGCCGGGAGCGGTGGCCGGGGAAGGGGACGCGGTGGCCGGGGAGGGGACACAGTGGCCGGGGAGGGGACGCGGTGTCCGGTCCCGCCCCGCTGCTGGCAGCTCCAGCCCGGCCGAGCCTCCACTGCGCCGGTGCCGCTGCCGCGGGCTCCGCGCCGGCGCGGGGGATGCGCGGGGGATGCTCGGGGCCGCATCGGGACCCGCAGCGCCCAGGTAGGGCCGGGGAACAGGGAATGGGCACCCGGGAAAAGTTGGGGGGGTTACGTTGCCTGGAACAAAAAAAAAAAAACAATCTCCTTTTTTAATATATATACATATATATGTGTATGTATTTATTGTTGGTATTATTGTTTTTCAGCCCACGCCGTGGTTTCCACACCCCCTATTTCTGGGTAGCCGCGGTTATGGAGTTCTCTTAAGCCAAGCAGCGCCAGCATCCCTTGGAAAGTTTTCCCGCCCCAAAGGCATCGGCAGCTCAGCTGGAGGGCTGGAGGTGAGGAATGCTCCTGTTAGCAGCTCCTTATTAAATTGTCGGGAATGGCTGGAGTGGGGGTGAGTCGAGCCACGCTGTTCCAGGCAGTGACTAATGAGGACTAATCCAGATTGTTTTCCATGTCTCCAGCAGAAGAAAGCGTGGCTTGTGCTGCTGATGGAGCCAGCCTTTCTGGAATGTGAATAAGAGCTTTCACTTAATGCACATCGCTGCACTGCCTTGATCACTGCATTTGATAAGCCTGCTGAAATTAAATAGGCAAGTTTTACATTTACGTGACACGTGGAAATACAGAAATATTTATGTTTTTACATGTATGTGTTCATTAATATGTATACTTATATTCAGTCTTATCCCACCTTCCAGTACTTGCAGGGACTTTACAGAAAATATGGAGAGCAACATTTTACATAGATAGAACAAAGGGAAACATTTTTAAACTAAAAGAGGAGAGATTCAGGTTAGTTATTAGGAAGAAATTATTTACTGTGAAGGTGGTGAGGCCCTGCCACAGGGGGCCCAGAGGAGCTGTGGCTGCCACATCCCTGGAAGCATTCAAGGCCAGGCTGGATGGGGCTTGGAGCAGCCTGGGTTAGTGGAAGGTGTCCTGCCCATGGCAGGAGATTGGAATAAGATGGTTTTTTAAGGTCCCTGCCAACCCAAACCATTCTGGGATACTGTAATTTCTCATCATTAGGAAAATTTAAAATTGGAATTATCAATTTATATTTGGTAGTGAAGGCTGGCTGATGATAGTGGATTTAACTTTATTGAACATTGTCTATGCTTTATGTCCTGAATGTGTATTTTCTACATATCTAATAGTAGATGATTCTGTTTCTTTTGCATATCTAATAGCCTGTCCCTTTCTTTGAATCAGAAAAATACCTTTGCTATTCTAAATTTATAAAATCAGAAGAATCACTGATGAAACAGGTGTTTTATATTCTAGGGAGGACTGTCAGAAGAGCTGAGAATGAGATGGACTTAGCATAAAGGACACAAAGTTCTGGGTGATGATGAGTTAGAGTTTTAACTTAGAAGAACACAGTGTTTGCCTCAGAGGATGGATGTGAGTGAGAATAACATTTGTGACACAGGGGGGAAGAATTCAAATTATCCCAGAAAGGCCACAGAGCAGGTGGGCCACAGCTGTAGGCCACAGAAGGAGGTGGACATGAATTACTCCTGCAGTCCTCCTGGAAACTCTGCTGGACCTGCAGGAAAGCAGGAGCTTTCCTGTGGAGACAAAGAAACCTGTGCCACCTACTGCCAGAAACAAGGTGAGAGCCCAGCTGGGGAGTTCCCCCCCTCCAGCTCCAGCTTCCACCTGCAGAGAGAGGATGAGGATTTAGATCACTGTTCCTCTGAGCACCCCAGGAAACCACGGATGATAACAAAACTCCGCGAGGACAACGGAAGCGCCGCTCTGGGAGATGCGCTTGGTGAGGAGCTGGAGCCCGTCCCCGAGGAAGCTCTTCCCTATCGATGCAAGAAGTGTGGCTCCTCTTTCCACAGCATGAGCGAGCTGCAGGAGCACAGGCGAGCTCACCTGCTGGAGAACTCCTACCGCTGTCCCATCTGCGCCAAAGGCTTCTCCCGCGCCGCCAACCTGCGCATGCACAAGCTGATCCACTCCAGCGAGAGGCCGCACAAGTGCCCCGAGTGTGACAAGGGCTTCATCCGCACGGCCGACGTCTGGAGGCACCTGCGCAACGTGCACAAGATCGAGCGCTCCATGGTGATCCTGGCCAGCGGCATGGCCAGGAACCCCTGGTCTGTGGTGCACCACAGCCAGCAGCACAATGCTGAGTGCCCGGCTTGTCCTGCAAACCCAAAGTCTCAGGAGGATGACTTCAAACCTTACGCGTGCCCGACGTGCGGTAAAGGCTTCGATAAGCCCAACCTGCTGTCCAAGCACAAGGTGATCCACCGGGAGGACAAGCCCTACAAGTGTCAAGAGTGTGGCATGGCGTTTGTGCAGCTGCTCAGGCTCAAGAGGCACCAGCAGACTCACTCCGGGGCACGGCCCTTCTACTGCGAGGAGTGTGGAGGGACCTTCACCCGGCTGGCATCGCTGCAGCGCCATCACCGCATCCACACCGGAGAGAAACCCTACTCCTGTAATTTCTGTGGGCATTCCTTCACCGAGTCAGGGACTCTACGGAGGCACGAGCGCACACACAAGTTGGACAAACCTTAATTTGGGGTCTCTGTGGTTGCTTTGTACCTGAAAGAGGTCTGCTCAGCTGGGCTGGAAAAGCACCCCATGGTGCGTGCTCTGCGCAGTCCAGACCCACTGCCCAGCATTGCTGCATCACAGGGAGCTCTGGAACTTGATTGCACTGCTGAGCTTTAAACTGCTTTGTATGAGAAAATAATCTAATTACCCCTGAGTAATGAAATGGGAGACTTGAGGAGACTGAAACCACTCGCATGTGCTTGCTCTGTCTCTGCTTGCTGGACTGGTGATGCATCCGCTCGAGCTTTGTGCAGGATCTGCAAGCAGAGGCTGGGAGAATTCACTGCATAAATTGGCCTTGCCCTCATGAGTGTGATGGCTCTTGGACACTGGCTTTGGAGATCTGTTAAGTCACTAAGTTAGAACACTCCAGGGTTGTCCCTCTGTCCCTTCTTGTATTTTGCTGAGTTTTTCTTTCTGTTACTCTTCTTTTTATTTGGAAGGGAAAGTATCGTGTTGGTTATTAAAAAAAAAACAAACTCAACTTACAAACCAGTTCCTTAATAAACACAACAGTTACCAGCTGTATTTCAGAATGTTTCTATACTTTATGCACTTTTGAGTCATGGGTTAATAATGGGGAAAGCTTTATTTTGGCTATGGTGGTGCATGGTCTTGAGGTGACACTTGTGTGTCTGATGGAGCCATGCACACTAAAGCTGACCAGCTGAGTATTGTGGAAGGAAATGTTTGAGGAAAAGAGCAAAAGACCAAATTGAAGCCACTTTTGCTCCTCATTGCACAGGAACCTTCTTCATTTAAATATTTTCACACATAGGGAAGCTTCCTATAACAAAAGCAAGGTCTGTGGTGTGTCCAAGTACTGCCCAACGTGTCTGTTAGACTCTTCACTTTGATTTAAATTCAAATGGTTAGTGAAGAAAAATTTCCTTAGGACTTAGCCTGGCAGACTTGGGCAGGTGTTGACAAATCCTCCAAGGCTGTAACTGCTGTAACTGTAATGCCTCAGTGTCAGCAATGGGGCTTTAACTTTGAAACTTAATAATGACTTTACATCTTCTCTTAACCACTGTGGTAGAAGTATCCAGTTTGTCCTGAAGTTGCAGCCTGAATTTCTTTTCCACGTCAGAAGGTTTTGCTTCTTTGCTTCCTTTTTCCTTACCAGCTGCCATATTTCATTAATTTTTTTCTAGGGCTTTCTGCCTTTTCAGTGGAAGGTTGTGCAGCAGAATGAAGGTAAAGCTCCAAGGTAATGTACTTTTGCATTTATTACCAGGTTATTTAATATAAAGTACTGATTGTGCTGTTTGTTTCCATATTTCATAGAATTAAAAAGGGATGTTTGCAGCTCAGCACCTCCCACCTGTGCAGAAGCTGAGCAGGTGTCACACAGTGGGTCCTGTTGTGTTTGATGTCAGGTTCTTGGTTCAGATCAAGATCTACCACTGTTCATAGCAAAACTTTAGCTTGATTATACATGGGAGACTAATTGGTGTCACTAACGGACCATTTTCACTTAATTCCTCAAAGAAATCTCCAGATAAGGGAACCGATGTGCATCCTGCCCCCGAGGGATGTGTTCTGTGGTCTGTGTGTGTTTGTAATTCTGGGATGGCTGGGCCCTGAGTGAGAATTCTCCAAACTCCCCTCTGCAGGAAGCTCCAGTTCAGTTTTAGGTTTGCAAAGGCCTTTGATGGGGCCCCTTAGCAACAGCTCAGTCTTATCTGAAGGCTGTGCAGCCTCTCAGAGAGGAAAGATCTTTGCATGAAAAGAATCCTGGCTGGCTGTGGCTGTGATCTGCAGAGGGAGGTCACCAGTGATGCTCTGTGGGGACCGTGCCGTTCAGCACCATCTGAAGTGACCTGGAGAGAGGGCAGACGGCAAAGTGACAAAGCTGTTCCGGAGACTATCATGCATTAAGTTTCCACACTCATTTTCTAATCCCCATTTTAAAGTTACCAGCTCCAATCTCCCCTGTTCATCATCCTGCTTTTCCTTTGGGTATGGGGATGCTCCTGCTGTAGGGTGGTTTAATATCCATTTAAACTGCACCACTTATGCACACCTTTATGTTGTGTGACAGTTCTGCTCAGGCAGTTATGGTAATTGGGAACATCCAGTTATTCTGCTTTTTAGTACTAGCAGTCAGTGGAATTTGTACCTCTGGCATAATGGTGGAAGTATTTTGAGCAGAGGTCTGTTATATGGGAAGAGTAAATGGTTGGTGAAATGAAAAGTACCAGGCTTAACTAAAAAGTTATTAGAAAAACACTTGCCTGGAAGGTTGACTTGCATATAAAGTGCTTGGATGTGTGAAAGGAGTAATTAAAATGTATGATGATTTCTGGGAAAAGTGTGTAGAACTTGCCTCAAAGAAACTTCCACAACTCCTGTGCAAGGTACAGGAAACCCCGTGGAGCTTAATTTAACCCAGAGATCAGCACTTCTGCACTTCACATTATTCACATAAAGGTCTGGAAATCTCTCCCACGCCCTGACCCTCTCACAGTGTCAGTCAGAGTGGGTGATAGCCTAAAACAGACACAGCCAGTCATGACGTGTAGCTGACATGGGGCAGATAGACCTGCTCTGCAGCATTAGGGAGGGTTTGAAGGGTCTGCTTTCAGCAGAAGTCATTTTTCTTTGGCCAGAGGGGCCAGAATATCTGTTAGCTCATTTGGATCTGTGAGGCCATGGAAGACACAACTCCTTTGGCACTGTGTTCACAAAGCCCTCATTGCTGGGGCATTACAGGAAGCCCTTGGACATGAGCTGGAGGACACAGGGCAGGAGCCCCGAGCTGGGCAGAGGATCCTGATTTGATCACTGGATGGTATTTGTCAACAATGGAACATAGGAATACACTTTTCTTTTTGCTGATTTTCCTGTTGCTTCCCTATATCACTTCTGCCAAACTCATTTCCATCACAGAAACAAGTTTTCAAAACTAAGAAGATAGAATAGCTCCAGCCCTGAAGATTCCAGGCCCTCACTGACCTGGAATCACCAGACAATCCTTGGCAGTTGGTACTGTTCTCTTACTTTGTTAACAAAGATGTTGATGGTAAATTTGCTCACCTTGTTGAAGATAAATATGTCCATGATTGAGTAGTGTGGATACAGCACTTTGAAGAAACACAAAGCTGCTGCTGTACAATCTGTGTCCCCCTGCACACCATCCTCCTCCTCTTCCACTGCTTGTCTTCTCCTGGCAAGGAGAAGTCTGAAACAGGAGTCTCCCATGTAAACAGGGAGCACCATGCAATCCATCATTTGTCAATTAACCCCAGCAAAGGGCACTGATATCTCTGGAGGAGGCAGCTTTTATTTTAAGTGAGGCTTCATCTGCCTCTGACCTTGTGGAGTTTCTTTTGGAACAAGGAGCTCCCACTGCACTTTTCCTCCTTCCAGACCGAAACCGAGCAGGGGCTGAGCTCTCACCAACAGAACAGCAGACAAAGACTTTTTTTTTTTTTTTTTTTTTTTTTTTTTTTTTTTTGCTAGGATAACAATCTGGAAATAGAAAGGAGAATGATGTCCTTTTTTTGGATGATTTCAGCTGTCGGATGCTTTGAGCAGTAAAATTGCTGTGGGCCTGTGCAAGGTTAGAGCCATCTTCAAAGAGCAGGCCTGGAGTGGGAGCAAGCCCTTGAACCAGCTAATACAGGTCTCTGCACCAGAGTGCAGCCCACTTGTAAATTCCTTGTAGGATGTGCTGCTGAACCGCCCCTGCTCTGTGGGAATGTTGTTTTCCAGAGTGTGCTCAATGTGCTACTGAAGTTCATGTAATGGCTTTCTTGTTTATCTGCTTGAAGAAATCATGAGAGCAATAAATTCCTTTTCTCATTAAGGGATCTATTGGAATTGTTGTTCCAGTGCTTTCCACCTGAGAGCAGGAGCAGTGATTTATTTTGTTTCTCTTCAAGCTTCCTGCACACATCCTGTTGGCTGCAAGGGATTCTTAGGGAATGGCTCAGTGACTTCCGTGGTTTCTGGTTTCCAGGGATGAGGCATCCTCTCTGGACAACCTGTGCCAGCATTTCACCACCCTCAAAAAAACCCCCCCATTTTTAACTTAGAGCTAGTATATGGGAAAAGCAGGGCACTGACACCACACTGCCTCAGCTACTGGCACCAAATCCAGAAGACTGGGGTTGTTTTTCACCTGGTACAGTCTTTTAGACTGTACATGGCATTCATAACTAGATAAGAGAGTATTTATCTCCAATTTAGTCAATTGAGATGTAATAGCAGCTCTAAAATAGCTACAGCACAGGGGAGTTCATGTAAACACAAATAATATCTCCAGGTTTACCTACATAATTTCCTTCTCTGTTTGCAGACTGTGACACAGCATCCTGTAATGATCACACAGTGATCACTGCAAGAGTGAAAAATACAGCTGGGTTCCCCCATCCTTGGCAGCTACAATACTGTAACAATAAAAGCACAATTATTAGAAGCACATTTCTATATTATCTGTCATAGATATCTCCACATGCCTTCAATAGCACTGTGTGGCCAGGTGGTCAGAGACTGGGGCTTGGCTCTTCAGCAGGTTTTGACCATGTGAAGGCCAGAATAAGAAATGCACAAGAAACATCTGAGCAATGTGGAATATCCTCCCAAAGTGCAGGAGGCAATGCTGGCAGCAGAGCCCTTGTAAGGGTCTGAGCCACCAAAGCACAAGGGGAAAAAGCCCTTCCTCTGCTCTGTCCCCCAGCTGGAATCAGGTGCTAGGAAAGACCTTTCAAGCCAGTGCAATAAACCAGCAAAGGAAGCTCTGAGCACTTCATGGGAATCACTTGAGCAGGGAAGTCTTGCTGGCAAAATGTTGTTGGTCACCAAGTGAGGCTGGAAAAACCAGGTACCAAGCACTAAATCTCTCTCTCCAGGGGTTTGGAAAACCCCTGGCTTCAGGCATAACTAGAAACTAATTACAAGAAAAAAAGGGGGAAAAAAAAGCCAAAAATTCTTCTTGCCCTTTTATTCTTTGCAGCAGACAGGTGAAAAGAGTATTTTGCCAGCAGTAGCTCTGAATTATTTCACAACTGCACATCCCTCTTGTGCTGCAAGTTAGAAATGACAGTTTAATTCTTTTTTAATTGCCTCATCTCTAAAGTATCTGAAAGAAGCCGTTTTTGCCAATTGTTCCTGGGCTCTGAAAGCAGCTGATTGCTGGAAAAGCAGTCAGTGCTCCTCTACTTTGGAAAGGGGCTCTGCAGAGAGGACAGTGAGGGGTGCAAATATTTTTGAAATGACTCTGTAGTTCCCTCATCCAGTGTGCTCAATGTTTGTGTGGGCTGTGTGTTTTGCAGTGCTCATCTGGCTGGTGGAACGGGAGGCTTTGGGATTTTGTTTGTATGCATTTGAGGCTCTTTAAGCTTCCCAGACTCCTCACCTGCAGGAGGGCAGGAGGCCTCTGGGGCTCCTGCACTTCCAGGGCCATTCCTGCAGGGACCTGGATTTTTGAGCAGGAGGGGATATCAGGTGTGAGGAGCAGAGCAGCTGGCAACTGTTTTGGCATAAAGGTGTGTTTGTCCTTGCTCACATCAATTCATGCTTAGATCTGACCTCCTTTCTCCTTTTTCTCACAGCTAAAATGTTCATTTGAAAGCACAGATTTTTATTTTTTGCACTCTGTTATCGCTTCTCCTGCTCTTCCACAACAACCAGGAAACACAGTGAGATGTTATGAATTACAGAGGTGCTGGGGCTATGCCAGATCTCATATCTGTTTCTCCTCATGGCTGAGGAGAGCCAATTTGCAAAGCCAGACAAGCACTCCTCCCCTCAGAGATCCTCCAGAATGAGCTCTGCACCAAGGCAAAAAACCAGGAGGAGAACTGGGGAAGAAAGAATGGGGTCCTACATCCAACAAATGCCTTCTGCCACAAGGCACAAGGGCTTGGTGTCCCCTCATCCCTCCCAGCCCAGGCAGTGCCTTTCTCCTCTGCCCACGTCACACACACTGCACCATCCTGGGGACCAAAAGGCTTTGGGCTCCAGGATTTCCCCCCAGATCAATGACTACAGGGCAATGAAAAGTACAAGCACTTCGATTTACTCATTCTGTCCTTTTATTTCAGCAAAAGCAACCATCAAACCACTTCTAACTTAGGAAAAGCTACAACTCAAAGGGCTAAGGAGCATATTCCAGAGGAACACATTCCTGACATAGTGTAGAATAATACCATCTATCAAAACAAAAAATGGCCTCCTAAGAATTTTCCTAAGAGATTTCTTCTTCTTCCTAAGACTTTTCCCACC